ACAAATCCACCCTCAATCGGACTCTCGCATCTTCCTTCGGATAAAACTTGACAAGTACCTCTGAACCGAGTTCAAAATGGACGGTTGATGAAAAGAGCACCCTACATCCTCCGAGCATATATACATTAATAAATGGCTTAATGATCTTCATTAATTTCAAAATTTTCCTCCCTATTCACTTCTGAGATCACATAATTGTTTCGTAGATAATCTAAAACGTCAACCATCATTATGATAACTGAGTATTTATTAAAATTTAAATAACTTGTACATGTCAAAATTGTTCAATTTAATAAGTGGACGTGTTGAAACATTATAAATAGCATTTTTGGAAATTTTAGTTAATTTGCATAAAACCGAACGGAGATTAATGACTGCCAAAGAATTCAGCCAGGTTGTGTTGCCTTCATTGAGTTGCAGTTGTTCAAACCCTAGCTGATTTGTGAAAGATAATGATATTGAGCAAGTCCAGTGGAGTAGATCCACAGATGACTTCAAAGTTTGACCCTGTTTCACATTGAGGGATTTCCTCAAATCCTTCTCAATCACTTGGCGGAGCGAGAAAGTCTGTGCTGTGGAAGGGGAAGTGGGGAAGACAAATTTGGAGAGAAGTTGTCACAGGTGTTTTATCAAGAAGATGGAAAAGGAGAGGTGAGTTGGCGTTTTTGAATGACTACTTATGACAAATTGGTTACATTTAGTGGTTGAGAGATAGGGTTATAAAATCTAAATATATTAGTATCAAGGGGTGTACGATAGACTTACCTCCACGTGGTGCACCCTGGGTAATGTATACTCATACGCCAAAAAAGTCTATTGACCGGCAGTTGACTTCTGACTTTAAACTATCATCACCCCACTGCATGTCATATTCTACCACTACCACAGTACTCATCTCACCCTTTCTCCGCCTTTGTGTCTGTCTGTCTCTTTCATATCTGTGAATCGTTCTTCTGTTTCACACCCCTCGACTTTCTGTTACTTTGATGTTCCCACCCACTGTGGAGCACGAAGTCAGCTAGAGGGCTAATGATGACTATCATATATCATGACCTTTGATATAAATAAACAAAAAATTAAGTCTTTCATGCTTAAGAAGAAGCGGCGACTCGACTGTCGTCCAGTTGCAGGGTAGGAAAATACTACTTTTATCTCAATTTGAGTAGGCCAAAGAATTATGACAATTCCAAGGTTCTATATTTCTACACTTCTTCATTATTCGGAAGGAATAAATCAAATGTATTGCTTTTCACTGTCCACATTTATGCAGTTGGCTACTATAGCTATTTTCGAGGAACACAGACTCCTTCTATTTTATCTATTGACAGCCGTTCAAATGCAGTACGAGGCAAATAATATACCAGAAAAAAGAATTTAAATTATGCATCAGTAAAGATTTCTGTTTATATTCGAATGAGCATTTTACAACACACTAACATTGGATTTCGCTGTCAGCGTTTCCGAACTATCTTTATATTTTCTCGTTTCTCCACGAGGAAATCAGGAAGATTGTCAACTGTCCGCATAGATGAAAGGACGATAAGTGTGGAGTAATAATCTCCCATCATTAGCATTATCCTTGCAGATTATATTTCAATTTCTTGTGGTTCGATTTTGATGCCTCACAGGGCCAGCACTCCCTTGAACGTCTTGAAAAATTGAAGCTTTCCGACAAAATCTGCTTCCTGAACTCTGCAGTAGTTCAAGGAAATGTGACATTACTGATCGCAACCTTCACAACTCCTTCATATCCTAATATGTTGATCGTCAAACCTGATGCGGTTTCGTCAGTTCCTTTTGCTGATATTGCATGTAGTGTTGACTAATCTCTTGAACAGGGTAAAGGAACTGCATATGAACTACAACTCTATGTAAAAATCGACTTCGATTGACGGGAGTTAGTCTTGGTTGTTGTGTTTAGTCTGGCTGCCGAATACCTAGTTAATAGCCATATGTCCAGTGTACACTATTCGGATTTACAGGATTGTCACTTACGTCTTTTAAATAGTTCTAAAATGGGCGGCAGTCTCAAAATTTATGAAATCATTTTAGTTGTATTTTCTGGATAAAGGGGAGTGCGATAGACTAACCTCCCCGTGGTGCATCCTCGTTAACGTAAACTCATACGGCAAACGAGTCTATAAGCCGGCAGTTGACTTTTCACTTCAAACTACCATGACCCCACTGTATATCATATTCGACCACTTCCACAGTACGCACCTTACCCTAATCTCTACCTACATGCCTGTGAGTCATTCTTCTGTTAGTCCAATCTGCTTTTTGTGACTTAATCTGTTTCTCCCCTATGTGAAGCTTGAAGTCAGCTAAAGGGCTTATGCTAACTATCGTAAAGCCAGCCATTTGAAATAAATGATTATTTTGTGAAAAACATTTAATTGTGCTTAAGCATTTGTGAGCAGTTCATTACTCCACTTGGAATTTAACTTGGAAATCCTAGGCAGATTTTTTGCATTTATCTCTCTATGTATGCTCCGCTTTTAATAACTAAATACCCCTGGAGAATTTCACATGCGGAGGAATTATAGACACATCCTCTTTATATGAAATAAAAAAAATTGGCAGAACGAATTTTGGTGGGCACATAAACACCCGAAGCTAATTATCAAAAGTTCACACTCTGAGATGTTTACATTGATAGTTTCTAGCGTAAACACCAATTTTGATTCACAAGCAGGTAAATAGGCACACACACACAAAATTCTCGATCAGAATACACATGGCGTCCTTCGATGAAGTGAACGGCGCCTGCGAATACCTTCGAAAGAAGGTTTCATTCAAACCTCAAGTAGGCTTGATCTGCGGCTCAGGATTGAGCAAACTTGCTGATGGCATTCGGAACCCAATTGTGATTCCCTATGAAGAAATTCCTAACTTTCCTAGAACCACAGGCGAGTTATTTGCGTGACTTCCTGAAATAATTTCCATCATCTGCGCTGATAATATTTCACATGTTGGTTATAGTGAAGGGGCACATTGGCAATCTGATATTTGGTACTATGGGTGGAAAGAGTGTAATGTTGATGCAAGGACGTTTCCACGGTTACGAAGGCTACACACAACAGCAGGTAATCATTTCCCCATACTATCGTCATATGTGCAGCCATGACGGTTGGCATAAGCCTTACTTCAAGTGCAGTGGAGTTCTTCAAAATGCTCAATTTTCGATGAATTGCTTGTAGATAACTTTGCCAATTCGAGTGATGAAATTGCTGGGATGTGAGTACCTGATTGTTACCAACGCCACGGGGACAGTTCATTTGAATTACAATGTTGGCGATTTAATGGTGGTGAAGGATCACATCAGTATTCCTGCTCTATGCGGCTTCAATCCCCTCTGCGGTGCCAACGATGAGAGGTAATATTTTCATTTGTTTATTTACTTTTATTTTTATTTTTTTTTCATATTTAAAATAGTATTTAGACCTATCAAATTGGATTTTGAAGTATTCGCCAGAAGCGAGCACCATGGTACACAAATGAAAGGTTAAATATCATTACTAAATGTAAAATTTATTGAATATGAGAATAGAACATGAGGTGATGTCAAATGTGACATAACAAAAATGTTAATTCACGCCAACTAACCCAAGAAACAGTGTTGACTTAGCACAATTCAGGTGCGTGCACAAGAGGCACATATCACAAAAGTGTTCGACATGACTGAATTTGTAAAATGAAACATTTGTTTAGATGAACTTTGAAAAGGGAATGACAACATCCAACCAGCTTCATTTTATGTGCATCAATAATTCTCACTTCCGTCTGAACTTTGCTTATCCACCCAACACCAACCACATTGTTATTTACGAGATCTCTGAATTCTTGATGATGTTCGCATGTTTGTGTGTGTGTGTGCAGTGGGATTCAAAGATCGCTACTTAGGAAGCATAATATTTAAAATAGGAAGTTAATTTGAAATGATGTGTGGTCTTCAAGATGTTGGGAAGACTTAATAGGAACCAAGAATCAATAAAAAGCTAAAATTGTTGAGATGTAGAGGCCATTTTGAATGAATGACCACAGTTCTCCACTTCAGAGTGTGCAAACTTTCTGGATGGACACTGGTCCCCACTCTGCCTGCTGACGTGCTCCACCTTGTTACAATTGAGATTATTGCTGACTAATTAATTTGCACGGGGTTTATCAACACCCTTTAATTATTATTTTTTTTTAATTACTTTTAATTATTATTTTCACTGGCCACATTTCCCAAATTACCTTCAGATTTGGACCACGTTTTCCAGCTCTGTCTGATGTTTACACAAAGGAGTTACGACAATTGGCCCTCAAGGTTGCCGATGAGATGGGGATCATGGATATCATGCACGAGGGTGTCTACCTCTGCGTCAGTGGTCCGACATACGATACTCCAGCGGAGGATCGAGTTCTTCGTCTACTGGGTGCTGACGTCGTGGGCATGAGTTTAACAGCTGAAGCAATTGTGGCCCATCACTGTGGAATGAAAGTGTTGGCTATCTCGCTTATTACTGATCGTTGTAGCTTCGAAAACGGCACGCATACGTCAGATCACGAGGAGGTGCTTAGAGCAAGTCTAGAGAGCAGTGAAACCATCACCTCGATGGTGACTCAAATTCTGGGGAAATTGTAAAGCCGAATACCAGGTTGAAGTAGAACGTTTCGACATAGCAAAAACGATCAATTCGCTTGAAGTAGTTTGAGCGTGCAATGTTAATAGAATTTATTTATTTCGAATGGCAGGCGTTTTGATAGTTATCATTAGCCCTTTAAATGACTTCAGGATTAATAGAGAGGAGGAGAAACATCAAAATGACAAAAAGACGAGAGGGAGACAGAATAATGATTCACAGATATAAAGGAGACAGACAGATACAAAGGCAGAGAAAAGGTAAGATAAGTACTGTGGAAGGGGTCGGGCCATGGAAGTGTGAAGTGAGAAGTCAACTGCCGGTTTGTAGACTTTTTTGCCGTATGAGTATACGTTGCCCAGGGTGCACCACGTGGAGGTAAGCCTATCGCACACCCCATGTTAATAGAATTAATTAGGTCTTCTTCCAATGCTGTTATAAACTTATTTATTTCAAATGGCAGGCTTTATGATAGTAATCATTAGCCCTTTAGCTGACTTCGAGCTTCACAGAGGGGAGGCACATCAAAGTCACAAAAGACGAGGTGGAGGAGGAGGGGGGGGGACAGAAAAGTGGTTCGAGGATGAAAAAGAGACAGACAGACACAAGGCCAGAGAAAAAGGTAAGGTGAGTACAGTGAAATGGTGGAATATGACATGCAATATGGCCATAGTAGTTTGATGTGAGAAGTCAACTGCCGGTTTATAGACTTTTTTGCTGTATGAGCATACGTTGCCAAGTGTGCACTACGTGAATTTCTGTTATAAATAATTACTCAAATAACTTCGCCGTAAATTAAATTAAATTAATTAAATTCTCTAATAAATGATATGAATAACCAAATTGTGCTGGAAAGGAAAAGTTAAATTACAAGATAGAAAAGGTGACAAAAAGAGATCGTTATTTATAAATACCTCAAGTCGCATATTAATCGACCTTGATATAATTAGGGTTGTTTAATCGAATTAGGACAAGTGCTGTAAGATATTCGAGAGACAAGTGTCAATTCGCTTGAAGGCCTGAAATGTTCTGGTTGGACGCAACGGGAGAGTAAAAAGGAAAGTGGCCAAACACCCACCCTTCGCATATTTCGCGATTTCAGATGTGCACTTTCATGCAATTGCTCGTAAATTCAAGGCTTCCATTTGCTAAGCGTGCGTCTAACATTGATAAATTAATTAGAAATCAGCCTTAGATAATTGCATTAGATTTCGCCGTGAATAGTCTTTTCAATCTCGAAGAAACTGAGTGTTAGAACTTTTGATAATTATGGCATTAAACGTACAAGTCCTCGGATATTTAGCTATTTAACTTAACAAATTCGTTTCAATAAGCCTAACAAATAAATAAGGCTTTAGAAATAATGGAAGGAAGTGGTTACGATATTCCTCCATATTAAATAAGGTAAGTTAAGAGAGAAGAATCATTTGTGAAATATTGTGACTAAAACTTTCTTTTCAATATGCTACAGGCCAAAAATTGCACATCTTCAGTGCTGATTTATGAAGCGGGGATATTAAAAAATCTTTCCTTCATGTCTTATCTGTGACAACGATGACTAAAACTGAAGCCTTTGGCTCTGCATTGGTGAAGAAAGCGTACGACTGCAAAACAACAGTTCTTGAGATGATTAAATTATAGAAAAACTTGGCTTAGCATTGATACACGTTTGGTGGAAATCAAAATTATTATATAGATTTACGTCATAACAAAATAAATATGATTTTATTTCATGTTCATTACAAAAACTTATTACTAAAGCAGTAAAGTTGGAAAAAACCATTTTCTGCTCACACTTGGGGCAATGAAAGTAGTGAATAAGTTTATTCCTTCTTATTACTTAAAAGCCAATGTAATTTAATATTGGCTTTTGAATGTTTCTTGTAAGTTGGGATAGTCTGTTGCTGAATTCAAGGAAGATGAAAGTGTCGTTAGGTAAACTGAGGAGTACTTCATTTTCGCGTAAATCTCTCCGATAAATTTATCATATTTGAAGGTCAAATGCATTGTTTTGAGCAAAAAATAAACCTTCACCTTGTCTTCAATTTTGCTTGACCGTAGTTGACCTTCATGGCACCTTTTTAAAATGAACTTCACTTGGGACTCATCGCCATCTTTTGATATTTGATTGTGCTGATAAGTAAAAATAGCTTTGAAATATGAAATAGGTCTTTGTAAGACGTTTCATCAAATCTCCTTGATATGAATGACAAATTGTGTAAAATCCCTCAATTCCATCTCTTTTCCAAAGAACAGATTCCACGGAGACTCGGCAGTTCTCTGCACCACGGAACTTTCCACGCAAACGTTTTTACTAGGGGAGTGTGATGGACTTACCTTCACGTGGTGCTCTCTGGGCAACGTATACTCATACGGCAAAAAAGTCTATTACCTGGCAGTTGACTTCAAACTACCATGACCCCACCCTATGTCATATTCGACTACTTTCACAGTACTCTTCCCACCTTTTTTCCACCTTATCTACCTTCGTCTTTGATACACTCTTCTGTTCCCCCCTCTTGAATTTTTTACACTTTGATGTTCCTTCCCCTCTGTGAAGACTGAAGTCAATCAAAGGGCTAATGATAACAATCATAACGCCTGCCATTTAGTATAATAATAACTTTTTTACTATGTATATTTTCTTCATAAATAATTCAGTAATTGGTGCAGAGAAAGTCTAAACAATTTAGAAAAAAATTTTCTCTGTAGATACCACTCACTTGACGCAAAATGGAAGATCACAAATCTCAAGATGACACTTTATAAAAGAGATTAAATAAATCGTGCTTAAATGATATAAGTAGGTCATTAATTTCACAATTTCAGGTTTGTCCAATATCTAGCCGACTCACGGGTGCAGTGGTGGACAACTGGCAGGAGCATCCAGTTATATAGCTGGAAGAAGACGGAATTAATTACTCCATTTCTTCTAATGCTCCAACAGTTACTGGAGAGTGGCTGCAAGCTGAAAAACTCATGTTGGCTACGAATCGAATTTTGGGAATAGAACAACTTCAGAGGGAGAATATTCGTGCTGCACAAGCCTGCGTCTTGGATGACGATGCCAAACAAATGCTCGTTCAGCATCTGGAAGAGATCTACTACGGTGTTTAGGTGGATTCTGTGATCACTATGATTTCAATTGCTGGTGTGGCACATGATAAATTTAATTTTTTAATTTGTAAAATAAATCCTGTTTAAATCAAAGTCATTTTGGTCGAACCGAATTTAATACCTTCAAAGTTCCTAAAGGTGTTGAAATTTTTTTGTAAATAAACATAAGGGGTCTTCAAACGCCCAAGTTCAAGGTGACAGCAGTGTGAAATAAATTAAAAATAAAACAAAAGTAGGAATTAAGCAAATATTTAAACAATAATAGAAAAACTCAAGCGGTTTATAAGAAATAGAGCTAAAATTAACCCCATTTACATGCATCCCACCAATTACTCGCAGTCATCTTCTTTAACCACGCGTCAATCGAAAGAACTTTAGTCTAACAAGGTTTTCAACTTGTTAACATTACTTTCTACGAATCAATTGTAAATGAATCTTATATAACGGTTGCCATTGCAAACTCGCCGATTTCTCATCTTTGCACCTATTCAAATGACCAGAACTGCCGAAGGTGGAGTTGCACAGTGACAAAGTTAATCAACTGCATGCAATTAAGACCCCACATTGGGTAGCTCATGCCGAGAGCAAAAGGGCATACTCGTTTCTTCGCCAACAACTTGACCGTTATTTGCCAAAACTTATTTCTCCCGTGGAATGACTTTTCGGAGTCCTCCTGCTCATTCACGCCCTCTTGAGAGTGGTTTCGAGCACTCCCCTATTCCACCGCAACATTTCACTCATCTTAAATATTCCAAATATAGCTTTGTTGCTGTGTCCTTAACTTGAATTTTAACTAACTTCATTGAAAGGTAACCTTATAGAGGCATTCTTAGTTGTCATGGCCAACTGCGTTGAGTTTTGAGTGATTGAGGGAGAGGGAGGGAGGGAGGAAGAGAGAGGTTTGATCATTGCCTTGTTCTGTTTATCAGTGGTGCCTGTTCTAAGCTTATTTGACCTGCCTGGTTTTCCGTCTTTCTCATTTTCTGGCTTCGCCATTATGTACATTTGGTGATAATTGAGTTGGTTCGTGCTGCGTGAACACTTGAAATTCTTAATCTTCGTCCTCCTCTTCTTCATCTTCTTCGTATTTCACAATTTGGCAAATCACAATTGTGGAAATCAACTGAAATCGGAAGAAATGAGTTTTGGCAAATAACGGTCAAGTTGTTGGCGAAGAAACGAGTATGCCCTTTTGCTCTCGGCATGAGCTACCTAATGTGGGGGCTTAATTGCATGCAGTTGATTAACTTTGTCACTGTGCACCTCCACATTCGGCAGTTCTGGTCATTTGAATAGGTGCAAAGATGAGGAATTAGTGAGATGGCAGTCGAAGGTTTACAATGACAACAGTGGTATGACATTCTTTCACAATCGATGCGTAGTTAGTGATATCACCCATTTAAAAATCTTGTTAGACTAAAGATCTTCTGATTAACGCGATCTGACTTGATGTGTGAAGTGAACGGCGCATGGTTGGAGAATATGACTGTGAGCAATTGTTGAGGTGCATGCTTAAGCCATCAAATTTGTTGAATTCTTCAAGCGCTTCTTGGTTCTTTTCTCAAACTTAAAACATTAAATGCTTCCATTGCGTCGATGTGGCAATCTTCTATAGGTATGTTTAGTGCTGTGGTTTAACCGGTGGCAAATCCATACCTGCATAATGATTACTGCAGTTATATTGATATCAAATATTCATCTACAAACATTTTAGAAATTCCACGATGGTAACTTCAGTTCTAAAGAAATGAAATTGAACCAAACAATAGCGAATGGAATATAATTAATAAAAAACTGCTTGGTCTTACCGTTTGCCAAGTACTGAAAATTATTGGATAAATTTGAAATAGTAAAACTGATTACCTACTTATTTTATTTAAGTACA